GGAGTTTAGAGAGGGGAGGGAGAGAGAGGAGGAGAGAGAGAAGGAGGGATGGGATGGGGAGAGGAGAGAGAGAGAAGGGGGGTGAGAGAGAGAGAAGGGGGGGGATGAGAGAGAGAGGAAGGGGGGGAGAGAGAGAGAAGAAGGGGGGGAGTGAGAGAGAAGGGGGGAGAGAAAGAGAAGGGGGGTGAGAGAGAGAGAGAAGGGGGGTGAGAGAGAGAGAAGGGGGGGAGATGAGAGAGAGAAGGGGGGAGAGAGAGAGAGAAGGGGGGGATGAGAGAGAAGGGGGGAGATAGAGAGAGAGAATGGGGGGATGATGAGGGAGGGGGGCAGAGAGGGAGGGGGGGGAGAGAGGGAGGGGAGGGGGGAGAGAGGAAGGGAGGGAGGGAGGAAGGGAGGAGGGAGAGAGGAAGGGAGGAGAGGGGAGGGAGGGAGGGAGGGAGAGAGGAAGGGAGGGAGGGAGGATGGGAGGGAGGGAGAGAGAGGGAGGGAGAGAGAGGGAGGGAGGGAGATAGAGAGGGAGGGAGAGGGGGGGGATGAGGGAAGGGAGGGAGGAGAGAGGAGGGAGGGAGGGATAGGGGAGGGAGGGAGGGAGAGAGAGAGGGAGGAGGTGAGGGAGGGGAGAGAGGGAGGGAGGGAGGGATGAGAGGGAGGGAGGGAGAGAGAGAGGAGGGGGGAGAGAGAGAGGGAGGGAGGGAGAGAGAGAGAGAGGGAGGGAGGGAGAGAGAGAGGGAGGGAGGGGAGAGACGAGGGAGAGAGGGAGGGAGTAGAGAGGGAGGGAGAGAGGGAGAGAGAGAGGGAGAGAGAGGGAGAGAGAGAGGGAGGGAGGGAGAGAGAGAGAGAGGGACGGGAGGGAGGGAGAGAGGGAGGGAGGGAGAGAGGGAGGGAGGGAGAGAGGGAGGGTGAGAGGGAGGGAGGGAGAGAGGGAGGGAGGGAGGGAGGGGAGAGAGAGGGAGGGGAGGGAGGGAGAGAGGGAGGGAGGGAGGGAGAGAGGGAGGGAGGGAGAGAGAGAGAGAGGGAGGGAGGGAGAGAGAGAGAGGGGGGAGGGAGAGAGAGAGAGAAAGGGAGGGGGGGAGAGAGAGTAGAGAGAGAGGGAGGGAGAGAGGGGGGGAGGGAGAGAGAGGGGGGGAGGGAGAGGGGGGGGAGAGAGGGGGGAGGGAGAGGGGGGGGAGGGGGGGGACGAGAGAGGGAGGGAGGGAGGGAGAGAGGGAGGGAGGGAAGGGAGAGAAGGGAGGGAGATGTGCCTGTTTAAGGGTACAGGGTGTACATGTGAATGTCCCAGTTTTGTGCATTTGTGTGTTGTCCTTTGTCTAGGCCACATGGCTGTCCATTGTTTGTTTGCCTGCCATGTGCTCCCCCCATTGTGCTGTGCCTTCCCGTCCAGCAAACTATTATGGGATGTACTGTTTGTGTATTGGTGTGGGGGTTGGTCAATGTCCTTTGCCGCATGGCTGCATCCCATTGTTCTGTGTCTTGGTTGGATGGGGTTGGCTGATGATGTGTTTCCTGTCCCTGGTTGTCTTTCCCCGCCCTCTGTATAAAACATGTTGTTTGTGTACAATAAAAGGAGTAGTTGGCTTTCTGTCTTAAGAAGAGCTGGGTGTTGTCTGTTTCCTGAGGGATTTCAAGGGTGTGGTCCGTGGATGGTGTTTGGACAGGGGAAGCTGCGGTATAACGGAATATACCCAAGTGCGGTTGGGTACCGGTTCCGTTACACCATCCTATGCCGACTGGTTGCTATGAGTTACAATCCTACCCCGATTGGTTGCTATGAATTACCACCCTATGCTGATTGGTTGCTATGAGTTACCATCCCTATGTGGATTAGTTGCTATGAGTTACCATCCTATGTTGATTGGTTGCTATGAGTTACCATCCTATGCTGATTGGTTGCTATGAGTTACCATCTTATGCTGATTGGTTGCTATGAGTTCCCATCCTATGCTGACTGGTTGCTATGAGTTCCCATCCTATGCTGACTGGTTGCTATGAGTTATAATCCTACGCTGATTGGTTGCTATGAGTTCCATCCTATGCTGACCTATGAGTTATAATCCTACGCTGATTGGTTGCTATGAGTTACCATCCTACGTGGATTGGTTGCTATGAGTTACCATCCTATGCTGATTGGTTGCTATGAGTTACCATGCTATGCTGATTATGAGTTCCATCCTATGCTGATGGTTGCTATGAGTTACCATCCTATGCTGATTGGTTGCTATGAGTTACCATCCTATGCTGATTGGTTGCTATGAGTTCCATCCTATGCTGACTGGTTGCTATGGTTCCATCCTATGCTGATGGTTGCTAGAGTTACCAATCCTACGCTGATTGGTTGCTATGATTCCCATCCTATGCTGACTGGTTGCTATGAGTTATAATCCTACGCTGATTGGTTGCTATGAGTTCCCATCCTATGCTGACTGGTTGCTATGAGTTATAATCCTACGCTGATTGGTTGCTATGAGTTACCATCCTACGTGGATTGGTTGCTATGAGTTACCATCCTACACAGATTGGTTGCTATGAGTTACCATCCTACGTGGATTGGTTGCTATGAGTTACCATGCAGTGGGAAGGATCACAATGCAGGACGGGTATGTACAATGTCTTTAATCCCCTGCTTGTTTGCTTTGCTCATGCTGCTAATATCCACAAACTGAAATAAAAAGGGAGGGGGGTTAGTGAACGCCTCAGAGTGGGGGGCAAAGGGGATGGGATTACAAGTAGACCCCCCCATCCTCCAATGTTCTCGCTGACCCACCGTGACCTTCCTTCCAAGTGACAACAGGGCTCGCTGTTCACTTCCCTTCCACACGGGGGCGCCGGCTCTGCCCCAGTCACCGGATCTGTGAAGAAGAAAACTTTGGCAACGTCTTTATTGTCCGCATGTTTAAAATGCTCGTCACGCCGCGCAGTGCAAAATCTGCCAGAAAGTGCCATAGAAACATGTGACTTCTGAAACCAATGATAAAAACGCCCCGTGACAGACAGCCCCCAGCCCCTGCTGTTTGGCCCTGAACCCCCCCCCCCCCCCCCCCCCCACCCCGCGATAGCAGCCTTGTTAAGCAGAGCAGTTTGGTCGGTGAAGCGCCTCATTCCAACGTTCTGGTCGGACGACGGCGGCAAATAAAAAAAAAAAAAATCAATGAAATAAAATGGAATTGTGCCTGGGGACAGGAGGCTCACCCCCCCCCCCCCCCCAGGTGGAGGTCTGCTGGGGTTAAAGCCCCATGAAGTCTGAAGTGGTCCCAGGTAAGTGGTCCTATCGTGCCACATGGCTTCCAGGCAACGTGCTATTGGCCAGATGGATGACTGGTAACGGATGAGCTTCGGTGTTGAAGACCCAGTTGTCCAATGGCAGAAGGTCGTCGCTGGAGAACAGAAGGTACAGGTACCTGTGGGGGGAGAACCAGAGAGGAGCTGGGTGATCGGCCAATCCAATTCCAGATCAATATCCAATCAAAAGTCGCTAAACACAAATGTAAATCACCGAATACGAGATAGGGCAAGTGAAAAAATAAATTTGGGGTTCCGGCGAGCAGACTGCTCCATTGAAAGCAATGGGAGGTCGCTGACTCTTGCAGCTAATCATGCCTACATGCATGTAATGCTGAGATCACATGTCAGCGATTGGCCCTTGATGCAGACTGCCTACGCCCAGGGGCCAATCACTTGTCATCACAGCATGAAAGATTGCATGCCATTGGCTGTGCTTACCTGCGACAGCCAGTGGCCTTCCATTGCTTTCACAGGGGCTGTCTACTCGCCGAACCTTCCCTGGGGTTCTTACATGGCACGGTGCAATCTGCTGATCAGTGGCTTGATGACACGCTAATTGAGAGAACAATAGTAGGTCTGTAGTAGCGGCAGCAGCCAGCAGAGAGGAGTATGTATGTTTAACCTTTTGCTGTCTGCTCATAGCACATTTACTGCGATTGGGCGACAGCTGCAGGCAGGTACACTGCCGCCTCACCAACACCAGAGGAGTGACATCATCGCGGTCAGATTTCATTTCATATTTGATGGTGTTACCTCTCTGGTGGATCCTCCGCCACCTTAGCGATGCCACTGGCAGGTACCCCTCTATGAAAGGTGCCTGTAGGCACATGCCTACGGTGCCTAATGAGAAGCCCGGCCCTGAGGGCGGCACTTGGCCAACCCTGATCTAATGGTTGGTTGTCCTATACAGTCCATATGCATTCACTCTATTCGCTCTCCCCGGACCCCGCATTCACTATATCCCTCTCCCCGGACCCCGCATTCACTCTATCCACTCTTCCCGGACCCCGCATTTACTATATCCGCTCTCCCCGGACCCCGCATTCACTATATCCGCTCTCCCCGGACCCCGCATTCACTATATCCGCTCTCCCCGGACCCCGCATTCACTCTATCCGCTCTCCCCGGACCCCGCATTCACTCTATCCGCTCTCCCCGGACCCCGCATTCACTCTATCCGCTCTCCCCGGACCCCGCATTCTCTCTATCCGCTCTCCCCGGACCCCAGCATTCACTATATCCGCTCTCCCCGGACCCCGCATTCACTATATCCGCTCTCCCCGGACCCCGCATTCACTATATCCGCTCTCCCCGGACCCTGCAGATATAGTGAGGGTCCGGGGAGAGGGGATATAGTGAATGCAGGGTCCGGGGAGAGCGGATATAGTGAATGCCGGGTCCGGGGAGAGCGGATATAGTGAATGCGGGGTCCGGGGAGAGCGGATATAGGGAATGCGGGGTCCGGGGAGAGCGGATATAGTGAATGCGGGGTCCGGGGAGAGCGGATATAGGGAATGCGGGGTCCGGGGAGAGCGGATATAGGGAATGCGGGGTCCGGGGAGAGCGGATATAGGGAATGCGGGGTCCGGGGAGAGCGGATATAGGGAATGCGGGGTCCGGGGAGAGCGGATATAGTGAATGCGGGGTCCGGGGAGAGCGGATATAGTGAATGCGGGGTCCGGGGAGAGCGGACATAGTGAATGCCGGGTCCGGGGAGAGCGGATACAGTGAATGCCGGGTCCGGGGAGAGCGGATATAGTGAATGCCGGGTCCGGGGAGAGCGGATATAGTGAATGCGGGGTCCGGGGAGAGCGGATATAGTGAATGTGGGGTCCGGGGAGAGCGGATATAGTGAATGCGGGGTCCGGGGAGAGCGGATATAGTGAATGCGGGGTCCGGGGAGAGCGGATACAGTGAATGCCGGGTCCGGGGAGAGCGGATATAGTGAATGCCGGGTCCGGGGAGAGCGGATATAGTGAATGCGGGGTCCGGGGAGAGCGGATATAGTGAATGTGGGGTCCGGGGAGAGAGCGGATATAGTGAATGCGGGGTCCGGGGAGAGCGGATATAGTGAATGCGGGGTCCGGGGAGAGCGGATATAGTGAATGCGGGGTCCGGGGAGAGCGGATATAGTGAATGCGGGGTCCGGGGAGAGCGGATACAGTGAATGCCGGGTCCGGGGAGAGCGGATATAGCGAATGCGGGGTCCGGGGAGAGCGGATATAGCGAATGCGGGGTCCGGGGAGAGCGGATATAGTGTAGAGTTCAGCTTTTATAAAAGATACCCCCTAGTCCTTCTCTCCACCGTGGCACCGTGGTTCATAGACAGACCTGCACCACAGAGCCCTGTGTAAATCTATGGGGCAGTCTGTCTTCCATTCCCGGGACTCACTTGAGTGTCTCAGCCAGGAAGAAGCTCTGCTGGACGTCATCGTAGGCCGGTGATGAGGAGTAGACGTCCTTCACCCCTGAGAATCCACCACTCACCCTGCAGTACTTCTCAATGGCCTGTAGATGGAGACAAAGTCCTGTTAATCTGGAGACTGCGGCACAAAACGTTGTAAATAAAGTTTGTCTCGTGCGGCGTACCTGCGCGGCCTCCCAGCCCCAGGCGCGGTATTTGGGGTCGTGGGTGAAGCGCCACATGTACCAGTACGTCTCTATGACCTCCGGACGCAGGATGTAATACTTCTCGTTCTGCCGCACGGCCACGGCTTCCGCTCCGCCCTCGAATTTAAAGGCCTCGGGGCCCAACTTCAGCACTGCCAGCAAAGAAACAGGAGAGTGAGGAGAACAACGGGGGATATGATAGAGTTTCCCATGAAATTCCCCTCCCATTACACACCATAGACTCCGCAGGAGAACACACGGCACATTATACAGGCTGGATGGGAGGCAACCATGGTCTATGAGCCAATGATCCCCAGTGTCCCGGATTCTGCGGGACAGTTTTTTTTTTTTTTTTTAGCCCTGTAATGTAGCGGTGGTGGCCTGCACACCCAGGAGAACTATTTTTCTACCGTTATGCTCAGACCCTGTTTTGTGGAAGAACACACCAGTATCTTAGTAGAGGGCACCTCCTGGCACTAGCATAGTGTCCCGGATTCTGCTGGACAGTCCTGGGATTTTGAAACCCTGTCCTGCAGCGTTGGTGGCCTGCACACCCAGGGGACCTGACAGTTTTTCTACTGGTACATCCAAACCCTTTTTTGTGCTAGAACACACCAGTATTTAGTAGCAGCACCTACTGAAACTGCAAGTGGTATAGCTGCCAGGTGTCCCGGATTCTGTTGGGACAGCCCTGGGATTTTGAACCCTTGGCTGTAATGTCAATGGCCTGCAGACCCAGGAGACCTGACTATTTTTCTACTAGTACGTTCAGACCCTTTTTCCTGCCAGAACACACCAGTACTTTCGTAGAGGGCACCTCCTGGCTTTGGCATAGCTACAAAGTGTCCCGGATTCTGCGGGACTGTCCTGTTTTTTTTTTTTTTATCCTTGTCCTGTAGTGGTGGTGGCCTGCACACCCAGAACTATTTTTCTACTGGTACGTTCAGACCCTTTTTTGTGGAAGAACACACCAGTATTTAGTAGAGGGCACCTCCTGGCACTGGCATAGCTGCAAAGTGTCCCGGATTCTGCTGGACAGTCCTGGAATCTTGAAGCCTTGCCTGTAATGTCAATGGCCTTCAGACCCAGGAGAACTGACTATTTTTCTACTGTTATGTTCAGACCCTTTTTTGTGGAAGAACACACCAGTATCTTAGTAGAGGGCACCTCCTGGCACTGGCATAGCTGCAAAGTGTCCCGGATTCTGCTGGACAGTCCTGGAATCTTGAAGCCTTGCCTGTAATGTCAATGGCCTTCAGACCCAGGAGAACTGACTATTTTTCTACTGTTATGTTCAGACCCTTTTTTGTGGAAGAACACACCAGTATCTTAGTAGAGGGCACCTCCTGGCACTGGCATAGCTGCAGTGTCCCGGATTCTGCTGGACAGTCCTGGAATTTTGAACCCTGTTCTGTAGCGGTGGTGGCCTGCACACCCAGTGGACCTGACCGTTTTTCTACTGGTACATCCAAACCCTTTTTTGTGCTGCAACACACCAGTATTTAGTAGCAGCACTTACTGGAACTGTGACTGGCATAGCTGCCAGGTGTCCCGGATTCCGTTGGGACAGCCCTGGGATTTTGAACCCTTGGCTGTAATGTCGGTGGCCTGCAGACTCAGGAGAACTATTTTTCTACTGGCACATTCAGACTAATGTTTTTGTTCCACAACCTGCCAGTATATTTTTAAAAAATACATTTCAAATACACGGTATGTCTTTAAAAATACAAATCTACATTTTTGGAATTTAGAAACAGATCTACAAATATATGTTAAAATGACAAATATCAGCTTTCAGCGATGTTGCATTTTAAATGACAATTGCGCGGTCATGCAACACTGTACCCGTGTGAATTTATCTTTTTTTTTTCACAAACAGAGCTTTCTTTTGGTGGTATTTAACCACCTTCTGGCTGCCATATAGTCCAATAACGGGTGCAAGGCGGTTCTCTTGTTCTGGGAGGACGTCACATGACATCCTCACATTCTAAGCGCGCAGCAGCGATCGGCGGTGTGTTGGGTCCCTCGGACACAGCGGATCACCGATCAACGGAAAGAGCCGAAGATGTCGGCTCGGTCATGTGATCAGCTGTGTCCAATCACATCTGATCACATGTAAATAGGGAAATGCCAGTTATCAGCATTTCTCTCCTCTCGAGCTGTCACGCTGACAGAGGGGAGGAGAGGAGAGCCGGGAATCGGCATTCCTCGGGGGGGACATCTACACTGATCATCAGTGTAGCCCCAGCAGTGCCAGCTGTCAGTGTCCATCAGTGCCAGCTGTCAGTGCTCATCACTGCCACCTGCTAGTGCCTACCAGTGCACATAACTGCCACATATCAGTGCCCATCTGAGCTGCCTTTCAGTGTCACCCATCAGTGCCAGTCAGTGCCACATATCAATGCCAATCAGTGCCACCTATCAGTGCTGCCAATCAGTGCTGCCTATCAGTGCCAGTCAGTGCCACCTATCAGTGCCATATATCAGTGCTGCCTTTCAGTGCCCATCAGTGATGCCTGTAAATGCCCATCAGTGCCTCCTCATCAGTACCCATTAGTGCCACCTATCAGTGCCCATCACTGCAGCCTCATTAGCGCACATCAGTGAAGGAGAAAAATCACTTATAACAAAAACTAAGAAAAAACATTTTGGTTTTTTTTTTTCAAAATTTTCAGTGATTTTTGGTTTGTTTAACCAATAGCCAACAGCTGTTTGGCGGCCGTGAAAAGGCTGTAGATTTTCGGGTGGACGCCATATGGCGTCCTCCCACACATGCTCAGTTTTCGCGCTTGCAGAGCCGCACAGTGGCGCGATCTGTCACCGGCCGTGTACTTCAGACACGGCCGATGACAGATCTGAGTACCGGCCCCTGTTGCCAGTACCATGTGACCTGCTGTGACCAATCACAGCAGGTCACATGACAGTTGTATACAATGGAGCCGCCTGTATTGACAGTTCAGGTCATGTGACACATTCTACATATCTGTGTGCGGGAGGAGCCGTCTGTATTGACAGTTCAGGTCATGTGACAGTAGGTTACACATATCTGTGTGCTGGAGGAGTCGCCTGTATTGACAGTTCAGGTCATGTGACACGTTACACATATCTGTGTGCGGGAGGAGCCGTCTGTATTGACAGTTCAGGTCATGTGACACGTTATACATATCTGTGTGCGGGAGGAGCCGTCTGTATTGACAGTTCAGGTCATGTGACACATTTCACATATCTGTGTGCGGGAGGAGCCGTCTGTATTGACAGTTCAGGTCATGTGACACATTACACATATCTGTGTGCGGGAGGAGCCGTCTGTATTGACAGTTCAGGTCATGTGACACGTTACACATATCTGTGTGCGGGAGGTGCCGTCTGTATTGACAGTTCAGGTCATGTGACAGGTTACACATATCTGTGTGCTGGAGGAGTCGCCTGTATTGACAGTTCAGGTCATGTGACACGTTACACATATCTGTGTGCGGGAGGAGCCGTCTGTATTGACAGTTCAGGTCATGTGACACGTTATACATATCTGTGTGCGGGAGGAGCCGTCTGTATTGACAGTTCAGGTCATGTGACACGTTATACATATCTGTGTGTGGGAGGAGCCGCCTGTATTGACAGTTCAGGTCATGTGACACGTTATACATATCTGTGTGTGGGAGGAGCCGCCTGTATTGACAGTTCAGGTCATGTGACACGTCATACATATCTGTGTGCTCGAGGGGCTGTCTGCTTTCAGAAACAACCGCCTCACTTCCCCACCCGCTGACAAATCACCTGTCCTGTCGTATGACTCGTGACACGTGTGAGCGATCTCCCGCCCCCAGCTGAAGGTAGTGCCCGGCCTTGTCTTCTGGCGACCCGTCTGCGCCCAGAGCGAACATGCCGCCCGCGAAGCAGGTCAGGTGACCCATCTTTCTCTCCAAGTGACCGTTCTTCCACTCGCCAATGAAGGTCAGGCCGCCATTCGACTTACGGACGAGATGCTTCTCTATGGCCTGTTGAAGAGCAGAGCGGTCAGTCACAAGATGCAGATAAACAGCAGACCGTTCTTCGTTCTTATCAGAGGATGGATGGCTCCAACAAACAACATCAGGAAATTGCCGATCAGAAAACGACTTTATGAACTTTAAAGGATAAATTCACCCTTGGGAACATGTTACATGTCCTGACCCCCTCCCACCCCCCCCCGCTTTTAGGCTGGAACATGTTCCCGATCCTGCAGTCGCCGCCCCACCTGTGACAGCAGTACAGGGAGAGGTTCTCTGTTTAACTTTTTTAAAAAAACAGCACGTGTTCTGTGAATGAATGGACTACAAGTCCAGACAGCCTTTGCGGTGGTCGGCTTGTAGTCCTCAATGAACGACCATAGTGCTGTGACCGCTGTGGTAGCCATTGCGTGTTGCGTGTTCCTGTCAGCAAGATCTGAGGATGCTTTACAAGCTCCTAACTCAAAAATTTTTAAAAAATTGGCATTTCTATACCTGAAAAAAAAATGTGCATTTATTATTTTTTGTGGAAAGGCGAACTTATCCTTTAAAATATTAAAGAGTGCAAAATGTAGAATGTCATCTTAGGATCAACCCTTGGATACGTGTAATGCAGCGTTACTCACTTCTATGGCATTGTCATACATGTTCCGTGCGTCCGTGTCCGTCTTGTCCGAGACCAGCCAGGCCTTCAGGAGGTACTCGTAAAAACTGTCTCCCAATCCGCCGACAGAGGTGTGGTCTGCAGGGGCAGGAGGTGACAACATTCCATTTTCAGTACTTCCTGGGAGCACCATCTTAGTTCCACCCCCTACCCACCTCTGAGCACCATCTCTTAGTTCCACCCCCTACCCACCTCTGAGGACCGTCCCTTGGTTCCACCCCCTACCCACCTCTGAGCACCGTCCCTTGGTTCCACCTCTGAGCACCATCTCTTAGTTCCACCCCCTACCCACCTCTGAGCACCATCTCTTAGTTCCACCCCCTATCCACCTCTGAGCACCGTCCCTTGGTTCCACCCCCACCTTTGAGCACCGTCCTTGGTTCCACCCCCTACCCACCTCTGAGGACCGTCCCTTGGTTCCACCCCCTACCCACCTCTGAGCACCGTCCCTTGGTTCCACCTCTGAGCACCATCTCTTAGTTCCACCCCCTACCCACCTCTGAGCACCATCTCTTAGTTCCACCCCCTATCCACCTCTGAGCACCGTCCCTTGGTTCCACCCCCACCTTTGAGCACCGTCCCTTGGTTCCACCCCCTACCCACCTCTGAGCACCGTCCCTTGGTTCCACTCCCTACCAACCTCTGAGCTCTTTCTCTCGGTTCCACCTCATTACCCACCTATAAGCACAGTCTCTTAGTTCCACCCCCTACCCACGTCTGAGGATCGCCTCTTGGTTCCACCCCCTACTCACCTCCCAGGAGCACCCCTTTAGAGAATACAAAACCAAGCATCATTTTGGGGTGCCGAGTAATTTGTATGAAATTTGTTAATAACAGGAAAAAAAAAGTAAAATAGATGCCCTTGGAGCAAAATAACCCATAAGCAATAACTGATCCACTCCAGAAACACAATAGACCCCCAACCAGCAACAACGGATCTCCCAGCAGCCGGCATCAATAGACCCTCCAGTAGCCAGCAACAAGAGACCCCTCCTGCAATAATAGATCCCTTCCTAGCAACACAACCCCCCCTCAACAAGAGATCTCCCAGCAGCCGGCATCAATAGACCCTCCAGTAGCCAGCAACAAGAGACCCTTCCTGCAATAATAGATCCCTTCCTAGCAACACAACCCCCCCTCAACAAGAGATCTCCCAGCAGCCGGCATCAATAGACCCTCCAGTAGCCAGCAACAAGAGACCCTCCCGCAATAATAGATCCCTCCCAGCAACACAAGAGCCCCGCAACAATAGATCTCCTCAGCAACTACAGAGGAGATGTCGGAAAATTAAAGGAATTTCTTGGGGACCCTCCCCCCAGGTCACCAGAACTAGTGTCCCCATAGGAAGATTTCCCCTCTGCTACTTTTCTGGGAGACAACCCAACATTTGGGGTTTTATTTTACTTGCGCTTTCAATGATAATGCTAAATAGGGCAAATAGAAAGGGGGAATCTCCCCAACGGGGTCACAGACAGCAATAAAAACTGACGGAGGGTCTAATCCCTCTCCACTCCATCCTTTAGTCATGCTTTGACCTATTGCGGTCCACAAACTGCCTATGTGATGCAGAAAAGAGGGTGGGATGCAACTCCCACACACTGCACATAGCTGCCCATAGGTGGTAGAGCTTCCTGTGCTTACAGCGTACTCTGTGTTCAAGCACTGTGACTGACAGCTCTCAGTATCTGGGCAGCACAGCGGCTAAATGGTCAGCACTTCCCCCTGGCAGTACTCGGGTCTCCGGTTCAAATCCCAGCCACGACACCTCCTTGCATGTTCTCCCTGTGCCTGTGTGGATTTCCTCTGGGTAATCCAGTTTCCTCCCACACTCCAAAGACATGCTGGGAGGTCAATTGGCTTTTTTTTTTTTTAAAAAAAAAAAAAAAAAAAAAAATAAAATATATATATATATATATATATAAAATATATTTCAGGTAGTTATATAGCACCATCAATTTACACGGCGCTTTACATATATATATATATTTAAAAAAAACCAAAAAAAAACAAATTAATTATATATACATATACCGTATTTTTCGCTCCATAAGACACACTTTTTTCCCCAAAAAAAAAAAATTTGAGAAAATGTCAGTGCGTCTTATGGAGCGAATATAAAGCGGCCGGTCCGGTATTTTTTGGCCACCATGTCAGAATCACGGGCCGGCCGCTCAGCTCTTCTCTCCTGCAGGACCTTACCTGTTCCTCGCTCCAGCGCTGCACAGTCTTCCCGCGGAGGCTTCTGTGACAGCCGGGTGCCCACTGCGCATGCGCGAGACGCGCTGCACTTTGTGAAGGGTCCGGTGTCTTCTGGGACACGACCGGTCCCAGAAGGCGCCGGGCCGATCACAAAGCGCAGCGCGTCTCGCGCATGCGCAGTGGGCACCCGGCTGTCACAGAAGCCAGCGTAAGAAGAAGAGGGAAGGACAACTCCGTGGAAGTGGGAGCGGGTACCTGTCAAATTCAGGTACCCGCTCCCCCTCCCTCCCCAAAGGTCAGCAGTCTCTGGTCATCTCCTGTACTGTGTCCGCAGTCTCTGGTCATCTCCTGTACTATGTCTGCAGTCTCTGGTCATCTCCTGTACTGTGTCAGCAGTCTCTGGTCATCTCCTGTACTATGTCCGCAGTCTCTTGTCATCTCCTGTAAAATGTCCGCAGTCTCTGATCATCTCCTGTACTGTGTCCGCAGTCTCTGATCATCTCCTGTACTATGTCTGCAGTCTCTGGTCATCTCCTGTACTGTGTCCGCAATCTCTTGTCATCTCCTGTACTATGTCCGCAGTCTCTTGTCATCTCCTGTAATATGTTCGCAGTCTCTGGTCGTCTCCTCTACTGTGTCCGCAGTCTCTTGTCATCCCCTGTACTGTGTCCGCAGTCTCTGGTCATCTCCTGTACTGTGTCCGCAGTCTCTTGTCATCCCCTGTACTGTGTCCGCAGTCTCTGGTCATCCCCTGTACTGTGTCCGCAGTCTCTGGTCATCCCCTGTACTGTGTCCGCAGTCTCTGGTCATCTCCTGTACTATGTCCGCAGTCTCTGGTCATCTCCTGTACTATGTCCGCAGTCTCTGGTCATCTCCTGTAATATGTCCGCAGTCTCTGGTCATCTCCTGTACTGTGTCCGCAGTCTCTGATCATCTCCTGTACTATGTCCGCAGTCTCTGGTCATCTCCTGTACTATGTCCGCAGTCTCTTGTCATCCCCCTCTACTATGTCCGCAGTCTCTGGTCATCCCCTGTACTGTGTCCACAGTCTCTTGTCATCCCCTGTACTGTGTCCGCAGTCTCTGGTCATCTCCTGTACTATGTCCGCAGTCTCTGGTCATCCCCTGTACTATGTCCGCAGTCTCTGATCATCTCCTGTACTATGTCCGCAGTCTCTGGTCATCTCCTGTACTATGTCTGCAGTCTCTGATCATCTCCTGTACTATGTCCGCAGGCTCTTGTCATCCCCTCTACTATGTCCGCAGTCTCTGATCATCTCCTGTACTATGTCCGCAGTCTCTGGTCATCTCCTGTACCGTGTCCGCAGTCTCTGGTCATCTCCTGTACTATGTCCGCAGTCTCTTGTCATCCCCTCTACTATGTCCGCAGTCTCTTGTCATCCCCTGTACTGTGTCCGCAGTCTCTGGTCATCTCCTGTACTATGTCCGCAGTCTCTGGTCATCCCCTGTACTATGTCCGCAGTCTCTGATCATCTCCTGTACTGTGTCCGCAGTCTCTGGTCATCTCCTGTACTGTGTCCGCAGTCTCTGATCATCTCCTGTACTGTGTCCGCAGTCTCTGGTCATCTCTTGTACTATGTCCGCAGTCTCTGGTCATCTCCTGTACTGTGTCTGCAGTCTCTGGTCATCCCCTGTACTGTGTCCGCAGTCTCTGGTCATCTCCTGTACTATGTCCGCAGTCTCTGATCATCTCCCTGTACTGTGTCCGCAGTCTCTGGTCATCTCCTGTACTATGTCTGCAGTCTCTGGTCATCTCCTGTACTGTGTCCGCAGTCTCTGGTCATCTCCTGTACTGTGTCTGCAGTCTCTGGTCATCTCCTGTACTGTGTCCGCAGTCTCTGATCATCTCCTGTACTGTGTCTGCAGTCTCCGGTCATCTCCTGTACTATGTCCGCAGTCTCTGGTCATCTCCTGTACTATGTCCGCAGTCTCTGGTCATCTCCTGTACTATGTCCGCAGTCTCTGATCATCTCCAGTACTATGTCCGCAGTCTCTGGTCATCTCCTGTACTGTGTCTGCAGTCTCTGGTCATCTCCTGTACTGTGTCTGCAGTCTCTGGTCATCTCCTGTACTGTGTCCGCAGTCTCTGGTCATCTCCTGTACTATGTCCGCAGTCTCTGGTCATCTCCTGTACTGTGTCCGCAGTCTCTGGTCATCTCCTGTACTGTGTCCGCAGTCTCTGATCATCTCTTGTACTATGTCTGCAGTCTCTGGTCATCTCTTGTAATATGTCTGCAGTCCATTGGTTCAGAATATTTTTTTTCTTGTTTTCTGCCTCTAAAACCTAGGCGCGTCTTATGAAGCCCGAAATACGGTATATATATATATATGTGTGTATAAAGCGCTGCGTAAATTGACGGCGCGATATAACTACCTGAGATAAATAAATAGGAAGGACCGGCTCCCAATCATGTGACCACCTTGACAGCCAATCACAGGGCCGGCTGGTCCTTCCTGCCCCCTGCGCATAAAGACCCTGTTAAAAGAGATGCCATTCCTAGGCAGGAAGGAGTTAAGGCTTTGGACTCTTGGACCTTTTATTTGGCACTTTTGTTACACTTTTTAAACTAAAACCGTTACCAGCGACATAGCAAAAAAAAAAACAAATTAAAAAAACAAAAAAAGGTGACGTCCTTTGCAGGGAAAAGCGTAAGTGTAAGGTGTTTCTTCAAACGTTAATAAGGATTCTCTATTTAATGACGGCGCTGGGGGAATGACGAGGAGGAGGAGTAATTTTGAAGGAAATGGAAAAGTTTCAGCTTTTGGAACATGCATGAGGTGATGGGACCATCGGGGGACGGCAGGACACAGACACGGAGGGACGGACACTTACGTTGCCCCCATCGCCCGGATCCTGGGGTTTAGGTAGTTGGGGTAAAGGCCGTTGGGACGGTCCATCTTCTGCAGGAGTTTTCTGATGTGCATGACCTGTAGAGAGGCAGACAATCACGCTGGGACATTCATACACATTGACAGCGTTTTTCAACCAAATTAGAAAAAAAAAAAAAAAGATGTGCAGCTGAATTGTAAATCCAGTTTCTTCTCATTGAGCCCGGGGTTCACACCATGCAGTGCAGAATTCTCAACGTTTTCAGTGCGAATTCCACACCACATCAGAATCACACCCCCGTTCATGCGAACCGCTGCGGGTATGTTAACCACTTCCAGTCCGGACACTTTCCCCCACTTCCAGTCCAGACACTTTCCCCCACTTCCAGTCCAGACACTTTCCCCCACTTCCAGTCCGGACACTTTCCCCCCACTTCCAGTCCGGACACTTTCCCCCACTTCCAGTCCGGACACTTCCCCCCCCCCTTCCAGTCCGGACACTTTCCCCCACTTCCAGTCCGGACACTTTCCCCCCCTCCAGTCCGGACACTTTCCCCCCCCCTCCAGTCCGGACACTTTCCCCCCCTCCAGTCCGGACACTTTCCCCCCCTCCAGTCCGGACACTTTCCCCCCCTCCAGTCCGGACACTTTCCTTCCCCCCCTCCAGTCCGGACACTTTCCCCCCCTCCAGTCCGGACACTTTCCCCCCCTCCAGTCCGGACACTTTCCCCCCCTCCAGTCCGGACACTTTCCCCCACTTCCAGTCCGGACACTTTCCCCCCCTCCAGTCCGGACACTTTCCCCCCCCCTCCAGTCCGGACACTTTCCCCCCCCTCCAGTCCGGACACTTTCCCCCCCTCCAGTCCGGACACTTCCCCCCCCTTCCAGTCCGGACACTTCCCCCCCCTTCCAGTCCGGACACTTTCCCCCCCTTCCAGTCCGGACACTTTCCCCCCCTTCCAGTCCGGACACTTTCCCCCCCTTCCAGTCCGGACACTTTCACCCCCTTCCAGTCCGGACACTTTCACCCCCTTCCAGTCCGGACACTTTCCCCCCTTCCAGTCCGGACACTTTCCCCCCCTTCCAGTCCGGACACTTTCCCCCCTCTTCCAGTCCGGACGCTTTCCCCCCCCTTCCAGTCCGGACACTTTCCCCCCCTTCCAGTCCGGACACTTTCACCCCCTTCCAGTCCGGACACTTTCCCCCCTTCCAGTCCGGACACTTTCCCCCCCCCTTCCAGTCCGGACACTTTCCCCCCTTCCAGTCCGGACACTTTCCCCCCTTCCAGTCCGGACACTTTCCCCCCCCTTCCAGTCCGGGACACTTTCCCCCCCCCCCTCACACCCTTCCAGTCCGGACACTTTCCCCCCCTTCCAGTCCGGACACTTTCCCCCCCCCTTCCAGTCCGGACACTTTCCCCCCCTTCCAGTCCGGACACTTTCCCCCCCTTCCAGTCCGGACACTTTTCCCCTCTTCCAGTCCGGACACTTTCACCCCCCCTTCCTGTCCAGGCCAATTTTCAGCTTTCAGCGCTATCACACTTTGAATGACAGTTGCGCAGTCATGCAACACTGTACCCATATTAATTTTTTACCATTTTTTTTTAGACAGATAAAGGTTTATTTTGGTGGTATTTATTCACCGCTGGGATTATTTTTTTTTTGCTATGTAAATGAAAATGTCCAAAAATTTTTTAAAAAAGTGTTTTTCTTATAAAATTTTGCAAATAAATAATCTTTCTTCATAAATCTTGGCCAAAATTTATTCCGTTATCTTTTTAGTAAAAAAAAAAATAACAATAACCCAAATTAGTTTTTAAATTAAATTTTTTTTTTTTACATTTTTATTTCATTTTTTTATATTATTTTTTTTTTCTTCATACTGTCACCCTA